GTCTCGCTCTTGCTCAGGCTTGTTTTAATCTCCTGACCTCGAGCAATCAACCTGCCTCAGCCTCCCAGAGTGCTAGGATTACAGGCATGAGCCATCGTACCCGGCCCATTCGGAGATTTCTATACCTGCCTTGAGATGGAGGGCAGATATGTGTGTTTAGGAAGTCCAGTTGGAAGTCCATTGTTTTAGAAGTGTTTGATAGTTCTTTGAGCTCCAGGCAAAGTACTGTAAAGCAAATACTGCATTTTGTGTATACTTCTGTCATAATGCTATAGCAGTATAATTACTGTCTTTTCCTAGACTGACTCCTTGGAGGGAGTCAGTTTTTTCTTTTTCTTTTTCCCATTGTTAGTATAATAGTGGTACATAGTTATTCAATGAGAGGTTGGTGAGTAAATATGTAGGTTGACTGATACTATAAATGCTTCACTGAAATATGCTAAATACTGTAACTTTTTGGCCTTGCTGGCATATGTAGTAATTGCATAATCTGTGTACTTAAACGTGAAGCTTATAACACTGGAGAATTATGGACTGTCACTTTTTGGGGAAACTTCCTTTAACATGAGCCTATCAGTCTTTTTATAAAAGCCTACTACTAGATATTCTCTATTACTTTCCTGCCCATCACTTTACACTTAGCAATTGAATAATTATCTTTTCCTATTAGTGTTCATATTATTCTGATTTTTCTGTTTTCTTCTGTTTGGAAGTTGTTCTAGAATTTTAAGAGATCCTTGAATATTGGCATGTACAAACATAATTAAAGATGAATTTTTTTATTTTTATCTTTATATTTCAGAATATTCATTTTCTATTTCTTTAGATACACTTAAGCAACATAACCAAGAAAATGGTTGCAGAATAGACAGTGATACTTTGGGAGCTGTGCATAATCTAGCCAACAGGTAAAACAAATTTTATTTTCATGTTGATTTTTTTTCTATATTAATTTTAGTCATATTGTAAGCCTATTTCCAAACTTCTGTACTATAGGGTAGTGCATAATTTCTCCTCTTTTTTTTTGAGACAGAGTCTCACTCTATTGCCTAGGCTAGAGTGCCGTGGCATCAGCCTACCTCACAGCAACCTCAAACTCCTGGGCTCAAGCAATCCTCCTGCCTCAGCCTCCCAAGTAGCTGGGACTACAGGCCACCATGCCCGGCTAATTTTTTCTATATATATTAGTTGGCCAATTAATTTCTTTCTATTTATAGTAGAGATGGGGTCTTGCTCTTGCTCAGGCTGGACTGGAGCAATCCACCCGCCTCGGCCTCCCAGAGTGCTAGGATTACAGACGTGAGCCACCACCACGCCCGGCCAGCAGAGACTTTCATTTGTGTGTTTTTTGTTTTTCAGTTTTATTGCTAATTAGTTAATAGAGAGTGCTATTTTCATATTATGTTCTTTCTTTTCTTTGTTTTAGAATGTATCTCTATGTTTTGTTCACTAATTTATATCTGATAATAAGTTTTCTGGCAAAGAAATATATTGTTACAGTGTATTCTATTTGTTAACAGAGGTGTTACTGTGCAAATTGATAATAATTAAGAAGAATCTGCTTGCTTTAAAACTGGTAATTTTAAGGTAGTTTAGTCCTTTTTCAGAGCATTGAGGATATTAACCGTGAAACAGGGCAATTCACCTATTCTTTCTCTGAAAATGGTTAAAATATAATTTTAATACCTACTAATAAATGTAACATAATCATTTTTAAAAAGCTAATAGAAAAAAACTTGGTCATTTTAGTGGATACACAGTTGTCATTCTCAAAGATGTGTGAGATAGGAGCTTAGGTCACTACACTTTCAGAACTGCCTCTAAATCTTCCCAAGTATAAGGATTCTTATCTCTTCTCTCCTTTATAATGGGTTATCCATTTACAATCAGGAGGAAATACTTTTTGTTGCCATTTCACTTTACTGGATTGTATCTGTACAGAGTTATCTGGGAAGTTCATTGTTGCTTATTTTTGTACTGTCTTCTATGGGAGGGGCTGCTGACGGTGAAGTGCTTATTGCTCTTGTTAGGGCTTTTGTGATTTTACCAATGGGCTTGATGATTTTTGCTTTATTTTTTCTTTTCTGTTTTAGGTTGCCAGGGCAGTTTTATCTGATTCACCCCAGCTCTCTGAGGGAAAAGAAGTAAAATTAGAGGAACTAATTGACTCTTTAGTTTCTAACCCCTTCTTAACAAGGAACCAAATTCCCCGTACTCCAGAAAACTTGAGTAAGTTAATAATATTTTCTATACCTTTTTTTTCCCATTCTTAAATACTACCACTGTTAGAACCATGGCCTGACAGATCTTTTCAGCTTACTTGGCAATGGCTCTTTATTTGTTCTCATACAAGGGACTTTTAAGTATTAAGTGTGGGTACTCTCACTTACATAGCAGTCTTTAAGCAGTATTTTGTCCCTTTAATATACTTAGTACACAGCGGTATATTCAACTCTGATAATATACAGTTTTGTCTTTGTTGTTTTACTTGGCTTTTTTCTGTAGGAATTTTGTTTGATCACTTTAAAAAAAAATCCCCTACCTCTAGATCTGACCTGTGATCCACATTTACAGAGTATAGAGGCTATGTTCTCCCAGTCAACAAGCAGAAATTATCAGCCAAAAACTTTGTGCACAGATCTTTACCCCTCCCAAATTAGTCAAACTGCCCAATACTTTTTTCTGTAACCTATAATATGTGTAGACAAAGTTCTGATATTAATGCCCTTATGTAGGCAGATCATCTTTGTTGAGTCATTAAATATAATTTCTGTTTTACTGCTGATTTAATTTAGGTCATACTGAGACAAGACTAGATCAGTAGTCGGCAGACTACAGCTTGTGAGACAAATCTGGCCCTGTTCTGTGTGTTTTTGTAAATAAAATTGTATTGAACACAAGCCTGCTCATTTGTTGATATTGTTTATGGCTATTTTCATGCTGTAATGGCAGAGTTGAGGCATTGTGATAGAATAGATGGCCTGCAAAGCCTAAAATATTATTATCTGGCTCTTTACAGGAAAATTTGCCAGCCCATGGGCTAGATGTTTAAGAAAATATCTTTTTAATATATGTAGTTTATATGTGCTGTGTAAAAGTAGATGCACATTTCAGGGACAGCTTTTGTTATATGTATTTACTTGTGTTTGATCAGTTGGAGATGGAGTTCTTTGATGTTGTTGAGGTTTGTTATATTGTAGAGCCTTGTCATCCAATCAGTATGTATATGGAACATAGACTGAGTCAGGAGCTTTATTTTTTAGCACTAGAAATAAAATGATTAATTGCATGCCTTATGTTTTGGAATATTAATAAATTGTGTTTCCCCCACTTTAATTAGTAACTGAAATCAGGAGCTCATGGAGAAAAGCTATTGAAATGGAAGATAACAGAAGTGAGGAACCAATTCAAATGGATACTGAAAACAGAGAAGTATTGCATAATCAAAGAGAACTTAGCATGGCCAGTTTTCTCTTAGACACTACTGTGTCAGATATTGGCCAGTCTCATTTGCCTGAAGAGAAAGTTGTTTCAGATTGCAAGTGTGTACCTCCGAAATATGCGGTGACCAGTCACATAGGTGAACCACCAACACAAAATCAGTCAGATTTGTTAAATAAGGAAATAATTTGCAAGCAAGACTTAGAACATACAGTTTTACCAACCAGGCTTTCAGAAACTAGCCAAATAGCGACATTCTCGCCTGCCCTAGGCAGTAGGATAGATGTGATGGGCAGCAGTGAAGAGCAACATGTTAAAATATTGGACCACTCACAAGCTTCTAGTAACAAACCTTCTATGAATAAAACTACATTATGGGACTCTTTTCAAATGTCAAGTGGTATTGGTTCTAAGAGTTTTAAGGATATTGATTTTGGCATATTACATGAAACTCTTCCAGAAGAAGTTGGTCACCTAAGTCTTAATAGCTCCAGTAGTTTAGAGGCCAGTTTTAAACTGGAACCAAATAGTCCTGTGCACAGTGGCATTTTTCCAGAAGATGTTGTGGGAGAAAGACAGACTACCCCAGAATCAAACTTCAATTTTCAGGCTATTTGCAGTAGATATGAGGCTCTGAAGAAATCTCTTTCCAAGAAAAGGGAAGACTCTTACATCTCTAATGCTGAAACACTTGAAAGACTCAAAGCAGAATTGAGCCCCACTCTCCAAAATGTGCAAACAGATGATGTGTTTGACCCTCATGATTTGCACACTGAGTATACAAAACCTTCTTTACGGCTGTCTCTTGGTCAAAGAAAACAGTCTGTTTCACCACTAATTAAGTTTTCTCCAGTGGAGCAAAGATTGAAGACCACAATGCCATGTAGTCTTGGAGAACTACCTAATTTAAAAGGTAAGACTTAACTAGGCCTGTGCATGTTCACCTGTTGAAGTTTTCTCTCAACTTTTCATAAAAATAGTACACAATGAATGCTACATGATCTTTGTCATTAATTTGACAAAATATGCTCCTTGTTCATCTATGATGAGAGGAATGATCCCTCACTTTATGGGTTCTTTCAGAATTTCTGTTGACATGTATATAGTTTACAATTTGTTTGGGTTAGGGGTGGGGGAAAGAAAACCAAAACCTGAAACTTGCTGCTTTTGTAATACAAACCACTGAAAGTAAATATCATCAAAATCCTCTTGTCTAGTGGAAGGTGGTTTTTAAAAAGTTGAGAAATACATTTTTTTTTTTTTTTGAGACAGAGTCTCGCTTTGTTGCCCAGGCTAGAGTGAGTGCCGTGGCATCAGCCTAGCTCACAGCAACCTCAAACTCCTGGGCTCGAGCGATCCTTCTGTCTCAGCCTCCCGAGTAGCTGGGACTACAGGCATGCGCCACCATGCCCGGCTAATCTTTTTTTTTTTTATATATATATATATCAGTTGGCCAATTAGTTTCTTTCTATTTATAGTAGAGACGGGGTCTCGCTCTTGCTCAGGCTGGTTTTGAACTCCTGACCTTGAGCAATCCGCCCGCCTCGGCCTCCCAGAGAGCTAGGATTACAGGCGTGAGCCACCGCGCCCGGCCTGAGAAATACATTTTTTTTTTAACATTTGTTTTTGTTGAGACAGTTTCACTTGCCGCCCTGGTTAGAGTACAGTGGTGTCATTGTCACTGCAATCTCTGACTCCTGGGCTCTAAGCAATCCTTCTGTCTCAGCCTCCTCGGTAGCTGGGACTACAGGTATGGGCCACAATGCCCAGTTGGGTTTTTTTTTCCTTGCCTTTTGGTGGACACAGGGTCCCTCTTGCTCAGGCTAGTCTTGAACTCCTGAGTTCAAGCAATCCTCCTGCCTCAGCCTTCCAGAATGCTAGGATTACAGGCGTGAGCCACCATGCTCTGCCAGAAATACAGTTTTAAACATCACTGTTGTAATGATGTATTTGTGATTTTCTTTGAAATAAATTTGATGGGAGGTGGGCAGTAGAAACAAAACATGGTTAGTCAGTGTATTGGTTTCCTAGAGCTAACATAACAAAGTACCACAAACTGGGCCACTTTAAACAATAGAAGTTTACTGTCTCTGGAGAGAGTAAGTTCTAGAGGCTAGAAGTCTAAACTCAGCATGTTGGTGGGGCCGTTTCCTCTGAAGCTACTTTGAAGAGTATCCTTCTTTGCCTCTTCTAGCCTCTGGTAGCACCAGACATCCCTTGGCTTGTGACAGCATAACTCTAATCTTTGCCTCCATCTTCACATGGCATTCTTCCCATGTGTGTCTGTGTATCTTCTTATAAGAACACAGTTATACTAGTTAGTTATAGGCCCACCCTACTCCAGTATAACCTCATCTTTGCTAATGGTAGATACATTGGGTTAATCATAATTATCTTCACTTTTGTATGTTTGAAATTTTTCATCATAAAGACTTTTAAAAAATTCCTGTTATAGTATGTTAGGACAGATAAGGACCTAGTGATACAGATTTATTATATGTGATTTTGATTTGCCTGCAATAAACACTGTTATATCCTAGGAAGAATATGTTGGTCTCTGAAGAAAGAGTATTTTAGTGAGAATAATAGTAATATTATCATAGCTGAGTATTTGCATAACTGAACCTCTTTTTCCCTTAAGGCTGAAATTTGCTGCTACTTAGAATCTGTCCTATTTGTATTTATTAGTAATATTTGCTTATCCTCTCTTTTTAAAAAAAATATCAATTCTGTAGAAGGAGACATCTTGAATAAGAGCCTTGATGCAACAGAATCTCCATCTGACTTGACAAGATGAAGCAGTACCCAATTAATTTAACTACGATGCACTTAAATTGAAGCAGTGTCACTGGATAGAAACTGATTTATAACTTAAATACATGTTGGAAGTATAATACTTTTTTTCAAGGTTTAAAAATTGTAAATGCCTTTTAGCCTCCCATAATGTTTTTAGGTAAGAAAAAGTACGTTTGGGTTTTTTCTTTGTAAGGATACGGGGTTGAATGTGAAGTATTTGGAAAGCAACTGTCGAGTTATGGGAAGCTGTGTTGATTTCGTGAATTTTGTAAGCATTAAGTAAATGACAAAAGTAACAGTTTGACTAATTTATTATGTTATAATTTCAGTTAACTAACATGAGGATAAGTAGTTGTACTTTCACTAAGTGGTTGATACAATAGCCATAGAATATACTGATCTTCCATTTTAGAGAAACCCACAACTTTTATTGTTTCATTATGGAACATTATGGTACTAACCAGAAAAAGTAAGAAAAGTAGTGTCTTGGGATGTATAGTCAAGATGACAAATTTTAAGACTGGGAAAACTAAATAGGCTTAATGACTATTTAAGTAGATTATCCTGAGAAATGATGTTTGATGGAATAAAGTGCATGTGATGATAAGTGAAGACTGGGGCAGAATGGTTTTTGAAAAAGGAAAACGATGACTAGACACTTTGAAGGAACATTGTCAAACTATAAATCCATTCAGTGGGTTGTATAACATTTAGTCTAATTTAGACTTTGAGAATTTAATCCTAGTTTTATATTTTAACAAAAATATAAACTAAAAATTCATTTAGTCTGTTTTATTGTTGTTAGTTTTTTGGAGGGGTACTCTTTTTGGGAAAGGAACTAGTTTTGATTTGTTCAAACCCCATCAAAGTCCCCAGTTCTTACAGAATAGTGCTAAAATAATTTGAGAAAATTGAACTTAGGGTTAAGTAACTTGTCATGCTTGTGCAGTCTTCTGCCTCACTCTTTTAGGTACCCTGGCCCAGAAAAAGGCTTGTCTCTAGTATCCAAGTGAACACATGCTATCACCCTCTGTGAACCAGGAGGAATGGAACAGGCACTGGAAGGGTTATAACACCTACAGTGCCCTCTGTAGAGCACCAGCTAGCAACCATTAAAACCTTGTCCACTAGCCCCCAAGGAACTGGCAAGGAGAGGAGAAAAGCAGGAGGGGAAGTAGATGGGCTTAGTTTATCTCTCTTCACTTACCTTGGGCCTTTCTCTCTTTAAATTGTTTGTCCTATCCCAATTTGAAGACCAGTGTTTTTGTGAAACAAGACAGGAGAAAGCACATATAACTATTTTCTTTGCAAACTATTTTCTTTTCCTTCCTCTTTGGAAGAGGAAGGAAAGCCTCTCCTAAGGTGCTATGTTTCTTTGTTAGTTAATATAATAAATTAGGGACTCTGCAGGTGTATTGGGAAACCATTCTTTAGTCTGCTTTAAGAAAACTCAGTATCTGTAAATCTAAAAGTAGCATTTTAGGGAGGAGGTAAGGCTATCATATCTGCATCTGCAAAGTGTCAGGGCCATTGCTGGATAAGTAATGCATATTTATTTCATTTAATTGTTAGAACTCTGTATGATAGCAATTATACCTATTTTATAGTGAATGACCTAAGATGGACTTAAGTACCATTGTGTTAGGATCATCTGGGATGCATCTTTAAAAATACAAGTCTAAAAAGAGGATTAGGTATCTTTGTTTTAAATATGCTTCCCTGGTAATTCTTAAGCTTAATAAGAAGTTTGAGAACTGTTGCTAAGAGTATAGAGGTTCACATTTAACCCTCTGGTACCTTTAGGAAGCAGGTACACTGTTGCATGTTTACTGTGGCTGTTAACTATCTAGTAGGGAAACAAGTTCATTAGTAAAGCATGGGAAGCCCTTAGTGACAATCAAAAGATCAAAGTGTCTCTGGACATTATGGATTTACAAAAATTATATTACTTGAGTTATACCTGTGATAGGCTGAAAGTTCCTAACATTCTTTTTGGCCCTTCCTGTGCCAGTACCATAAACAGTATCTCAAATCTTACCACTTCCTTCTCCTAAACAACTGTGATTACAACTTTTTGCCTTCAGTCTTTTCTCTATCTCATATCTCCTGCATAGTTGCCTTTTGATCTTAAGAAACTTTTGATTGGGTCACTTCCTTGCTTAAAATTCCATTATTGGTTCATTGATAATCCTAGAAAAGAGTTCAAATTGAAAGGCATGTAAAGTCCTCTACACAGATTTCCTCTATTCCCCTTTCCACTGTGATATCCCATTGACTGAAATGCTTCAGTGAGCATGGGTACTTAGAAATCTTGATTTACAGTTCTCCTGAAGCTGGGCTGGAATATCTTACCTTTCCCTTGTAGCTTCTCACAATTATAGCTCTCTTTTAAGGCTCAGGAAAAACGTCTTACTTCCACCTTGAAGTCTTAATCTATCCTTTCCATTCCCATGTGCTTATCCCTTCTCTGAAATCTTCTGTAGTTTATCTTAACTGTTTTTATTCATTTAATATTTCACTAATTGTTTTTATTATTTTTTCAAGGATATATGTGATCTCCCTAGTTATACCCATTATATACACACATACATATTTACCTATGTATAGATGTGTATAGCGTGTATACATCCTCAAACATACATATATTCCAAGGGCTATGTCATCTTTAGCAAATATTTAAATATTAGAATTGTTTTGTTTGCCTCCTCCATGATAAAGTAATGGTAAAGAAGGCTAATTTATTGTTTTAAATGTATTTTTTCTCATTACATTCAGATCAGATTGTATGGAATGCACTTTTATTCACTATTTGTAAGATATGTGTGTAAACTGACTTCTACATTATATTGAAACTTGAGATAATGCTAAAATGTCCTAATCATTTTAGATGTTTAAAGAAGATAAACATATAATATTGCTAAACATGAAAAATGTTACCGAGTGGAATAAAGAATAGCTGAAGTTAATGAAAAATATATGGGGGAGTTTAACTGAAGACAAAAATACCGAACAAGCATTTTGAAACCTTTTACCATGTGTTTCTTAACCATGAACTACGAAGTCAGTTTTATCTAAAGGAAAAGCAGTAATTTTTTTTTTTTAAAGAAAGTTTCACTGTTGCCCAGGGTGGAATGCAGTGGCCTTTAAGCTCATTGTAATCTTGAATTCTGAAAAACAGGTATTCTTGAGGCCTGTATAAAAAATTATGCACACTATTCTTTTCCTACTGAGTATACTAAAATTAAAATGTTTAAGGACATTTTCCTCAATGTAAAGCAGGTTATTTGCTGAAGTAAAATTCTCTTTTATGTTACATTTTCTGTTACATAGTTGCTCTAGAGATCACCTTTTTCCTTATGCACTGTGAATGGCAAGTGTGCATCCTAAGTTTAAAATATTTGTGAGTCTTCTATGGGACTTTGTAAATGTTTTACATAATATTGTCTTGAATAAATATTTAATATACCACCTGGCTCTGGAATTTCTTATGTAATATCAAAAGAAACCATGCCCCTGCAGACCATAAAATGATCATATACAAAGATATACTAATAACTTGATCAACAAAAGAAATTTGAATGGTTCAGTGAATTAGGTAAGAATATTTTATTGCTGCCATTTTAATGATTAGACATGTAATATTTTAAAATGATTGGCAGAGTTTTCTCATTTGGAGTCTTTGTATTAAGTTATTGCCAATGGTTAACTTTCTAATGCCTTAGAAACTCTAAAGCCCTGTTACTTATATTTACTGTCTATAGAAAGATACTGCCTCATCTGTTAAATGAGAGGCCCATAGTTGATCCGAGGTCTCTTGGCTCTAAAATACTTAGGTTTCATTTAAAACAATCTATGAGGTAGCTATTGCTAGAACTGGAATGGGGCATTTTAGGTCTGTTTTCTGATTTCACTATACCACATTGCCAGTCCAAATTAGGAACCCCAGAATCCTTCCCCAAAAGTAGGTAAAGTAAGAATCTGATTCAATGTTATCTAATTTCCAGATAAATAGAAATGGGAAAGTGATCTTGCCCAAAGTGACTTAAACATCATTCCTTGACAGAAGTCACTTAAGTTGTTGGGCTTTAGCTTCCTCAGTATGTAAATCTGGAATTAATAGAAGGGATAATCTACATCTAAAATGCTAGGATTTTTATTAATTTTTCTGTCAATGGAGGAAATAGTGGGGGTGTAATGGTTAGAAGGGGAGAGTCCGTAGTCAGACTGTCTAGGTTTAGCTGCATGGCCTTATTAGGTCACCAGTTTTCTCATCTATTAAAAGTAACCTACTTCACAGGTTGTAAGGATTAAATAAGATAAATGCACATCAAGTACTTAATACTTGGCATTTAGTCAGGGCACAGATATTTAGCCAGGCTTCACATACAGTCATTTGGGGAAAGAATGGCTCAGTAGGTAGTAATGATAGCTAACTCTTACTTAGTACCGAGTATGTGCTTGACACACCACCATTCCTGAATGCTTTCTATGTTGTTTTAATTTAATCCTTTTAACAATCCTATGGAGTAGTGGTATTACCCATATTTTACAAATGAGAAAACAAGGACAGTGAAATTAAGTATCTTGCCCAAGTTCATAGAGCTAGTAAGTGAAGGGACCAGATACACTAACTCAACTCAGGTGGTCTAGCTGCAGAGTCCATACTTTTAACCACTGTGCTACAGCTATCAAACATCACTGAAGTCATGAGGGCCATGCGCACAAAATCCAATCTGCCAGTTAAGCAATTCTTGTGGGCTGTCAGGATCTTGGGATTTACAGATTAAGCACCTTCAAATTATTTCAAATAAGACCATGTTTTAAATTACTAACATCTTTATTCATGATTGAAGCCAAGAAGAATTTATAAATGAATTTTAATACCTTGCTCATAAAATAGTAACATTCCATCTTTGCAATCTGATAAGGAATACAGGAAGATATTGGTAAAGGCTTTGATGTGCATATCTATTATAACCAGGTAATCAGAACACACACAAACCACCTACTTTAGTGTTAAACACCATACCAACTTTTCAGAAAGGCCATCTGGAAGCTCTACTGGATAGCTGAGTAAATAGCGTCCAATGTTTAAAGACTGGGGAGTAGGAAAGAGAGAGATGGAAGTAAAGCAGCACACATTTCAAAGCCCACTTTTAAGCACACAACATTATGAATATTAAAAATAAAGGATGCAAAAACAAAAGGCAATTCAGCATTTTCAGAAAGAGCATTTGGCACTATTCAACGCATAAGGAGACTATGCTTGGGGCCATCCACTCTCTCCAGCTTCTCAAAGTGTTTCCTGGCATTGCGAATGTTGATCAGAGTAGCTGCAGAAGGGATCGATGGATCTGACATAACCACCATCACATACGTGTTTGATGTGAAGATGTCGATGAAAGCAGCGAAGTTAGAATTTCTAACTTCCATGCTCTGGAAAGAAGCGGCCAACTTACTGCAGCTCAGCTTGAACTGCTTGATGATGTTGCTGATTTTCTCAAATCGGTGGACGTCACGCTGCTCTTTGCACTGGTAATGGGAAATCACCAAGAACGTAGCTCTTTCGAACAGCAGAACTTCGTCGGCCTCAATAATTTGGGCAAAATTCCTTAGGTTCATCTCCAGCTGTTGAACGTTGGGAATCAGCTGATAGACAATACTGGACCAGGCTTTGTAGAGCGTTTCATCCCAGATGGATGTTCGAAAACAAGCACACTCCAGCGGGCGAGATAAACGCCTCAGGTCTTCCTCTCGCTCTTTAAAAATCAGGTCACGCTGATCCTCCTG